TGCTCAGACGAAGGCATCACGGGCTGGGCCCCTGCCGTGTGCTCCCAGCTCTGCCACCGCCGCACTCTGTCAGTTCGGGCACATCATGTTGCCCTGAGGTTTAGCTTGGAAGCTTTCTGGGCCAGGGATGGTCCCTACAGGGCACTAGCTTGGGTGGGAGATGCCTGGGTCAGAGCAGCCGCCCTGCCAAGCTCTACCCACTGTGGCACGCTGCTAGGATTCTGGGGGGCAGCCCCAGGGGCCTTTGTGCTGCAACCGACAAGAGTGGTTGGTGGGAGAACTCACCTGCCGTGCGCACTGGGGGGATTGCGGAGGCTCTGGAGGGCTCATCTCGCCTGCGGAGTGGCAGCTGAAAGCAGAACCTGGGCTCTAATCTCCCCCCTCTCCCCACCCAGGGCAGGCCAATTAGCCCGGGCTCCACACGCTTCAGGAGAGAGGCCTTTGTGGGTGGACAGAAGTGGGAGGGATAACGCCCGAGCTACTGCACTTTACTGCTCGCATGCAGGCAGCTACACCCTACAGGCAGGCACCCTACAGACCAGCCGCCCAGCTCGTTGGGGGGCTCGGGCTGCAGGCCAAGGGGAAAGGGGTCCAGAGTACAATGCCAGGGCAGGGTCACCGCTAGCAGCGCTTTCCAACGTCACGCACGAGGCCTCTGTGAAAAGCGGTCAGGGGGCGGAAATGGGTAAGATTACCCAGCTTGTGGGAGAGCTTACAGGCGGCCCCCTTCCGCTCTCCTCATAAAGCAAGGCCCCATTAGCACCTTGTGAAATATTAGCCATTAATCAGCCTCCATGCAGAATAAAACCGTCAACATGTATCATTATCGGCTCCTTAACGAAGTGATAATAGGAGCACTGGGGAGCAGGGATTTAATGTCTCCTAAGAAGCATGAGCCAGGCCAAGGCCAGGAGCCAAGAGGTTTAATTTACTGCCACGAGCTGCCCCCGTTAATAATGTGGTTACTTACCCTGAACATTATCCCTGTTTGGCCACTGGCGGAAGTGAGCCAGGCCCTCGGAAAGCGCCCGGACGGCTGCGGTCTGCCGATCCTCTGCCCTTCCGGGCCACGTAGCCACGGCAGCCTTCCCCGCAGTCGTCCCACGTGTGCCCCTTGGCTTCCCTTCTCCCCCGGACTGGCCCAGCTGTAGGGCTAGGGAAGGGTCCCGGCTGCCCAGAGCCGACGCCGCATCCCTGTGCTGCATCCGGGTTCCCCTGGAGGCACCTCGCTGGACTGATCCATAGTGTCACTGTCTCCCTCCACCACCCGCGCTCCTCAAGAGCCTCTTGGCCCCCGGCCGGAGCAAGCACACGAAGAGTGCTGATTGGTCTATCGCCGGTGCCTGCTATTCGTTACCTGTTCAGTGCAGAGACTGTACACACACCAATGCAAGATTTACCCGGCGCTGCCTGGGCCCTTCAGGGCAGGGGGCTGGCAGAGTGGGGGGTATGAGAATGAGGGTTGGGGAGGGGCTCAGGGCTGGGGGGGAAATAGGCTATTTCCCCCCTCCGCTCTACAGCCAAGGGCTGGGGAAGGGTTTGGGGCAGGGGGGCTACTTACCCAGCCTGGTGGCAGGCAAGATGGCAAATCCCAGCCCCAGCTGACCACTCTCTTGGTGGTGCGGCTGCCCCAGTGGTCACTCTGCAGCACAGCTCTCCCCTGCGCGCAACACCCCTAGCGGCCACTCTGTCTCACACCTCTCCTCTGCCCCCTCTTTCCACCTGGGACTTCCCACTCTCCAGGCACACGCAAGCCCTCACCTTGCGTTCAGTTAGGAGGAGAGGAAGCTGCCCACCAGACGCAGCAGTCCTAGCTCTTACCGTTCAGGAAGGGTTCTTGAACTAACAGATGCACATTTCTAAAATATATAGATGGATGCGTGTGTGTGTGTGTGTGTGTGCGCGCGCACGAATTCCTTGTATCCTTCTCCCTTACACTGTCACTTACCTTACAGTGTAAGCTCTTTGTAGGTAACCCCCTATGTGTTACCATAACAAACAAAGATTATTACTTCCTTTTCAGTTGTGTGACTAGATCGAGGTGGCGTTATCATTCCAGGACTACGTAGGCAAGACTCAGCTATTAACTCACATTCCTCCCTCCTCTCCGCGCTCATGGAGATGAATTCCAGGCTCTCAAGGTCAGCCCACGATCCCTCGGCGATACCTCCACCCTCCCTTGGGCGTCGTGAAGATAATAACCATGCTTAGCAGTTACATATCACTTTGTGGCTGAAGGTGTGATGCCAACATTCACTAATTAATCCTCCAACACAACCGGGGAGGTAGGGCACTTCTACTCCTGCCAGCAAAAGGTTACATGACTTACCTCTGACTACGTAACTGGTAGAACCAGGATTAAAACCAAGGAACCTGACTCCTTTCCCCGGCTGCTTCTTAGCACAGGGGAATGTTTATCTCCTCTGAGAGCTGGGATGATCAGATAGCTACACAAGCTGAAGTTAGGAAGTGTAAATGCAGAGTGACTCCAGAGTAAGCCAGATTCTCATCTCCAATAAGCCCCCTCTATACTGTTCTGGCCTTAAAATGCGCGTGGGCCCAGACTTATTAAAACTGAGAATCTGACTCCCACTGGTGTGAGTAAGAGCAGGGTCTGGCCTGGAGAGCAAGCTACGGTTTGGAGTCTTCTACTGTGGGTAAAGGGCTTTCAAGCCACAAAGAGCTTTTCCCATCTTCTGCTCCCAGCCTTTTCAATGCAAGTGAGAGCACAGATAGCTGCCGTCCTGCGCCAGATGTGTAAGGGAGGAGAGATCAGATCTATCCAACTGCATGGCAGCAGGGCCTGGAACCCAGGTGTGCCCACTGCACCGACAGCAGCAGGTGGCATGACAGGGCTGCCGGGGGAGGAGGTTTCCTTTCCTAAACTCAGGCTGGGCAAGCGCCTCCAGAGGTGAGCTCAGCGATGAAGCTTAGACCACACAGCTGGAAGAGTAAAACCGTTAATGTAACCTCGCTGTCCTTAGCCAATGCCCCCCCGTCCCGCTTTGCTCTCATTAAAGCGGAAGGGATGAGCGCAACAACTTGTAGGGGAAAGGAAGCCAAGCGAATATCGATGGGAAACGTGCTTCAAAGAGCTGCCCGCTTTCATCAGACTTTTACAGCCTCCCCTCCCCCAGATGAGCTCATTTTCATCATTAGCGGAAGGGACGAGGTGAGTGCTGTGTGTGATTACAGCTCCGGGGCTTTCCCGGAGGAGCCACCAAAGTTTGCAGAACGCGCCTGCAAATGAGCTCAGGTCTGCATCTCCCAGGGCTCAAGCCATGCTTGGCAGTTAAAGAGGCACTCTGTTTCCAGGGCGGTGAGTGCAAGGGAGGGCCGCTGGGGGTCAGCTCTCAGCTGGTGTAAACAAGAATCATTCCACTGATGGCAGGAGCGGTGTCATCCACCCCAGCAGAGGCTCTGACCTTACTCCCTCCTGTTCTCCCCATTTATATGGGGTTGGCCCACCCCTACTATTGTTGGTGTGTGCACAAAACCCTCAATCACTAACCGCCCGCATGATGCCATGTGTTAGAGATCTCTAGAGTGCAGCTGATGGATGGACTAGCTGCATCCGCGTAGACCACACGTAGACCCTGAGCATTCCAGACGCCACCAGCTGGAGCAGCCCTGGTCACCTGCAGAATGTGCCAGCTACCTCCAGGTAGGAAGCACCTGGTGTGCTGGCAACTGGGGCCAGCGGCTCATACACCCCAGATATGTTCAGATGGAGCTCGCCGACTGCGCGGGTAGATCTACAGCCTGCCACCCCACCACGGTCTATAAACGATAATGGAAAAGAGCAGCCGAGCGGGTGCAGCAGAGCACCAGGAAAAAAAAGGCAAAGGGCAAAGGTTTCATTCATTGCGATTAACCCCCCACAACTCTCGAGTGACTCTGGATTTACACCAGTTTAGCAAAGAACAGGATTGGGTGCTAGGGAACTAACATGGCTACCCAAACAATAGTCCCAATCCGTGAACAAGCTCTCTGAATGCAGTCGTTTTGCCTTTTACATTCAATCCTGCTATTCACTGCAGTCACGCACAGGGACCCCAAGATCAGGGCCCCACTGTGGTAGAAGCCATGCACACACAGGGAAATTCAAATGGCACGCTCCACTCTGCTGAGGAACCTTCCAAAAAACCATGCACAGATGCGCTAGAACAAACTTCCCATCGCTGTGTGCACCTTGACACTGTCATGCCCCCAGGTTTTCATATGTTGTAGGTGTCCCACACCTTCCAGCAGTGGGTTTCAAAGCACTTTGCAGCCACTGGCAAACTTAGCCGCACAAACCCCCAGGGATGTAGGTAAAGAAGGCCACCTCCATGCTACAGAAAAACTGAGCCTCTGAATGTTAGTGACTTGCCTAGGTTTACATATGGGAGTGTTAGTACTAGCCTGGCTGGCTCCCATCACAACATAGGACCTAACCCAAATGTGACACTGTTGCAAAAAAATTCTGGGAGGCATCAACAGGCGTGTTGTGAGCAAGACGCAAGGAGTCATTCTTCCGCTCTACTCTGCGCGGATTAGGCCTCAGCTGGAGGATTGTGTCCTGTTTTGGGCACCATGTTTCAGGAGAGATGTGGACAAATTGGACAAAAGCCAGAGGATTGAGAAAAGAGCAACAAAAATGATAAAGGTCTAGAAATGATGCACTATGAGAGAAGGCTGAAGGAATTGGGTTTGTTTAGTTTAGAAAAGAGAAAACTGAAAGGGGACATGACAGCAACTTTCAAGTACCTAGAAGGGAGGGGGGGGGAATTATTCTCCTTAACCTCTCTGACAGGACAAGATGCAATGGGCTTAAATTGCAGCAAGGGAGGTTTAGGTTGGACATTAGGAAAAAATTCCTGCCTGTCAGGGTGGTTAAACACTGGAATCAATTGCCAAGGGGGGTTGTGGAATCACCATCCCTGGAGATACTGAAGAGCAGGTTGGACAGACACCCGTCAGGGATGGGCTAGACAGTGCTGGGTCCTGCTGTGAGGGCAGGGGACTGGACTCGATGACCTCTCGAGGTCCCTTCCAGTTCTAGTGTTCTAGGATTCTCTGCGCCAGACTGGAACCGACTCAAGCCCCATCCAGTCCAGGATCTTGTTTCCAATAGCGGCTGTCTCAAAGGAAGGTGCAAGAAACCACACAGTAGATATATAAATTCAACCCTAATCTCTAGTGTCTAGAGAGTGACTTAAAACCAAACAGCATGAGGTTTGTACGTCCCCTCCAAAACATTTTATTGGGCTGAACTATTCTTGGATAGTTTTGTTATCCTGATCAAAGAGAGAGACTGGACATTTTAAGCGTGCTAAGTACGACTGTCCAATGATGTCACTGTTCACGGTATTAATAAGGTGGCATATCTATGCTGCAAAGTTAGATCAGCCACCTGGCACAGCTATAGCAGTCTGAAAACAGCGTGACTCAAACGTGGGATTTTAAATCAGGGCTCGAACAGCAAGCAGCTCAGCTCCCATTTAGGCCCTGAAATAAGTGGACAGATTTTCCTAAGCAGCTGGTTGCTGTGCTCCACAAAAAACCTGGCCCCAAGTGTCTTGCTGGAAAGCGAGCCAAGTGTGGCAAGACAGGAGCTGACATTAACTTACGACAAAGCTGAAGTAGCTGGTTCTCCCCACTGCTGGAGGCATGCGCTGTTTGACAAAGCAGCGGCCCCAGCTGCTTTGCCCTTTGATCAGTGCAGCAACATGAGTCAGGAGAGCCCAATTTACAGATTTTGGGGCCTTTTTTTCCTACAGAGTTGGAGGAGACCATCAGAGCTACAGCGAGTACTAACTTTACACAGCGAAAAGGTCAATGGCTCAGGCTGGAAGCTGTATTGCTTCCTGACACTCAGAATGCTTGTAGTGTGCGCGCGCACACACAGACACACACAGACACACACAGACACACGCCACCCCATGGAACATCAACCGTGTGGGGGGAATGGGCAACAGGGAAGGGATCACTCGATAATCACGTTTTGTTTACTCCTTCTAGGGCACCTGGCACTGGCCACCATGGGCAGACAGGACACTGTGCTGGATGGACCGTTGGTCTGACCCCCTGTAGCCGTTCTGATGCTCTCAGTGTCACCACACGGGACAGAGAAGGTCACAGCGTGAGGGAGACGGTCTCACGTGCAGATTGGTTTTGCACCAGTGCCTCTGGACCGTGCTTCACACCATGCTTCCCCCACACCGAGTAAATGCCACAGCTGGGTGTGTGTTCTCCACGCACCCACGATGAAAAGGTTAAACTGACCCCTGTGCTCCTCTGCACAGGCCTGGGAGGGCCCTGGGTGTAGGGCCCGATGGACCAATCTAGCCTACCTCATCACAACGGCAACCCAGAGACTCAGGCTGGGGCTCCGATCTCCAATCTCATTCGAACTCCCTCCCTCAGACGCCCTTGGACATCCCAGCCTTAGTCCACCTCCTGTTTCTGTGACATCCTTCCACTGTCCCCAAGTCACTCTGGCTCCACACCAAATACAGGTAACAGGGGAGCAGAAATGTCACCCCGCCAGATACGTGCTGCTCTTGCCAGTCAGTCCTCAGCCCTGCCTTCCTGAAGCCCTTGCAACCACTGCCAAAAGGCAGCACGTTAGTGGCTCTTCGGCAGGAAGGTGTTAGCGCCCCCGCCCCCCCTCCCCCAGCATCCATAATGCTGGTGGCGTCTTACCTTCCTCTGATCCTAATCAACAGACGGAAATAGGGTCATGGTTCCCACCCTTGTGCCTTGCTAATGTAGCTTTGGTAGCCATGTGATCAGTGCTCTCGCCAGCTGTCCCTAATGGAAGCAACCTGGATTTGTTCAGAGCACTGGTGTTCTCATTTTGCTCCAGTGCATCTGAAGAGCTGGTGCCAGTGCTCTCTCTCTAGCAGTCTCTAGCCCGAATTAAAACCACCTGGAGGTCCATGACATTGGTGCCCGTGAGGCCAGTCAGCAGAAGGTGGTGTCCGCTTTGGAACTTACTGAAGAACGTGTAGGAGTCATTGTTGCTCAGGAACTTCTCCACATCAAGGCCTTCCCGGGAAGCCTTCTCCACCAGCTCCGGGCTAGAGAAGGCACCGGCTGCCTCTGTTGGCCCATCTTGCCCATCAGTGCCACCGCTGAGGAACAGGACTTCGCATCTGCCAAGGAAGCTGCCAGCCTCAGTGGCCTTCGCTCGGTGTAGCTCCAACGCCACTTGTAAGGCCAACTGCTGGTTCCTCCCGCCCTTCCCACTTCCTTGAAGCTGGACAGTGGTCTCTCCCCCGGCCAGCAGGCACACCGATCTCTCAGGCCCCAATCCTTGCAAAGCCTCCTTCAAACCGGGGATCTCCAGCTCGGTGGCCAGCTTCAGAAGAGCCCCTCTCACTTGGCCTCGGAGCGCACCTCCACCCGGCCCGGCTGCGCCCAAGCACACAAACTGGATCAGCTGGCTGTAGAGCTCTGCCACTCTGCTGACATCCCCACACACGGCTGCGCTCAGAATCAGGGTCCAGTAGCCCAAATCCTCTGCTTGGCGTCTGTGGAGCCAATGACAACGTTGTAGACATGGGAACGGTCTGCAGGCGCAGGGGGGCCAGAGACGGAGCGGGACAGCACCATTTGCACCGATGCGGGCACGGCGCTCAGCAGGTTGTATTTGGTCAGTATCTGAAGGCAGTCCTGGGCGCGGGGGGAGCCGTAGACAGTGGGGCCGCTCGCAATGATGTCCACTGGGTCGCCAACGACATCAGAGAGGATGAGGCTTAGCACCTGCAAGCAGAACAGGTGGCAGGTAACCGCGGCGCCTGAGACCCGCTGAGGTGCAAGAGTGATCGACTGAGTGCTGTGCTCACTCCTCCTTGTGGAGTCCAGCGGATCCCCACCCAGATGCACCGGTGCAAAAGATGCAAATGTGGCCCATTCTGTGTGTGCACCGTGTGGTGGGGGCTCCGCATTCAGCCTATGCACAGGGGGCTGCAGGCAGTAGCACGGCCAGTGCTCTCATTTGGACCCGTGCACACGTTCACTGGCCAGTTTAAAAAGGGACCAAAAATCTAGGGTGTGGAAAAAGGAATGAAAGCTCAGCTCACCAGGAACGTGTCAGCTCTTGCTCTGCTCCACACTCACTTGGGCTGTGTCTAGACTGGCCAGTTTTTCCGGAAAATCAGCCGCTTTTCTGAAAAAACTTACCGGCTGTCTACACTGGCCGCTTGAATTTCCACAAAAGCACTGACTTCCTACTGTCTGAAATCAGTGCTTCTTGCGGAAATACTATGCTGCTCCCGTTCAGGCCAAAGTCCCTTTTGCGCAAAAGGGCCAGCTGAGATTTGTTTTCCCAAAAAAGCCCCGATCACGAAAATGGCGATCGGGGCTTTTTTGTGCAAAAACGCGTCTAGATTGGCATGGACGCTTTTCCGCAAAAAGTGCTTTTGAAGAAAAGCGTCCGTGGCCAATCTAGACGCGCTTTTCCGAAAATGCTTTTAACGGAAAATTTTTCCGTTAAAAGCATTTCCGGAAAATCATGCCAGTCTAGACGTAGCCAAGGGGTTTTTGTTCCTGCACAAAGAAAGCCGCCCTGTCCTGCGTTCGACCCAACCACCATTGCAGCACTAGAGCCAGAAAGCGAAACTGACCAGAACTAAAAAGGAGAGCAACCAGCCAGTTTTCATTCCTGAAGCAAAAAGAAACATAGGTTGGACCTCCCAGGCATCCAACCGGTCCTGAACCAGGGAGTTTGCTAGACCAAGGGAGGTCAATGCCAGCCTCTCTACTGCTGGCCTTTACTCCTGGCCCCTGCCATGGCTGGGCTCTGCTCTCGGCCCCTAGCTCTACCTGACAGGCTCCTGCCCCTGCCCTGAGGCTCTGCACCCAGCAGCCAGCCTGGCTCCCTGGTCCAGGAATATTTCTGAGCCTGCTGAGCCAGTTTTCTCCCTTGAGTGCTCCAAGGGTGGCGCACCCAGGGGGGAACCCCACCCGTGCCGAGCCAGGCATGCTGCCGGACCAGGGAGTCCTGGACAAGAGAGAGTCAACCTGCGCAGAGATGGACCAGGTGGCACGGTGAAAAAAGAAAACAACACCACACAATTATGTTAACCCGCTCAGGTGCTACAGGAAAGCTAAGCAATGATTCTTCAGTTGTTCATTAAATACGGGCCACATTTCTGAATCCTGCAGTTGATCCCTATCTGCCTAGTCAAGCAGTGTGATTCCCATAGATGCTGATTCCCACCAACGCCGTTAGGGGC